TGGTTAACCACAAAATAGTGCGAGTTGCGTGCGACTCTAAATCAGTTTATTTTCAATTTGACACCTGACTTCCCCATTCCACAGGCGTTATAGTTTTCTTTTCCTTTCTAGCTTTAACACAAAAGTGTAATTTGGTACTTGAAATATATCTGAATAGCATCTACCTGGCTGAAAGTTCTGTAGTTTTCTTTATGGAGCCAGATGAACATGTACGGTAGCCACTATATTGAAATGTATCAAATAATGATGTAACAATAGAAAAACCATCTCATGTGACACAAATGCATTAAGAGGGCCACGGATTTATTACGTATTAACCGAAATTAGTCGATATTTACCGATTCATTAGGATATGAAGGTGACAAAAGTTATGTCGTCACACTGATGAGGTGAACACACACGAATGTAGATCAGGCTGAACCTGATCATTTGAGCCGCGTCACGACAAAACCAACGTAATGCGTTGCGACCAGTCTGATCAGGATCCATGCTGTTCGCTTACAAACACTATTACAAGTAGAAAAACTGATAGCGAACAGCATGAATCCTGATCAGACTGCGCGGATGCGCAGGCTGGTCTGGATCCATGCTGGCCGCAAACGCATTACGTTGGTTTTGTCGTGACACGGCTCAATTATAAATTATTGAAATGCGCAAAGAAGCACGGATGCGTGGAGAGAATACATGATGGCGCAATGTCTTCATCCATGCGACTTTATAGTATAGCATTACTTCAAGCATTAAGTAATTCTGTGACGTGCAATGTGACGTTAATAGAAATAGGAAACTTTAATGTATGCGCTGCAATAAATGGAGCTTGGAAAAACAACAACAACAACAACAACCTCAAATTAATAGCTTTAGAATAAGTTCAAAAGTCACAGCATATGGACATAATAAAGATGCAATGCGAACAAATATGATCAAAGTTGCAAAACGAAGGTTTTAACGCATTTATACAATTCTAAAAACGATGTTGAACAAGTCAAATATGGCACTATATCTTAAAACATGTACAACTTTGAGAAATGCGGCTTTTTGCCAGTTAGTTACGTAAAACATATCGGTTGGCTGATCAAAATTTTCAGCTTTTATAAATGTATGTAACGTCTAAACGAGTGCGCTCAAATCTGTGTTATTTTGAATTCGTTCAAATCTTTTCAAATCTACAATTGTTTTGAATCTGTATTTGATTGAGTAGTTTTCCGGAACTCATAAGATATCGATCTTTCAAATTTTGATATATAGCGAGGTTTAAAACTTGTAAACTTGACTGTGTATATCTGTTTTAATATGTGAAGGAACAAGGTATCACATTTTTCATATGATGTATATTTACTGTGTGTCTAAATCGATGTAATCAGTTATCAAAGTACTGTGATCAGTTATAGAAGTACGTCAGATAAACCAATCGAATATGGTCCGTGTATGGCTGATAACTTTCCAGGAGATGAATAGTTCATGACTTATATAGGACTTTTCCCCTAAAATATTTGAATAAATATTCTTATAAAATATTGGACTAAGACACTAATATAGTCCTATATTTACTCGAGGAAGAAGCGTGCATTGGAAACAAACTGTCTCTTGTTGTATAATGCGAGTTATTTCAATATACATGTACATAAATCTTGGGATCGAGCCCGACAGGGGTTTCACGGTAAAGCCGAGGTAAGGGTTAGTCTAGAAACCAGACTCGTAGGTGATTAAAATAAATGGTAGGGTAATGCAGTCCTATTAAATCTCATATTATCAATGAATTATTGGAGGCGTTACGTTTTTGATAGGATTAAGTGATCGTTTGACAGGTAAAATCGGATTATCCGTCTGGAGGACATAATCTTTATATAAAGAATTAAGATTTATTGCATATTCAACTATTCATAAAATAGAACTCATGAAAATAATGTGTACTCATACTTGAGAATTTGTACAATGACACATACCAAGGTTTACAGCGGACAACAAAATGGTCATAGTTTTTGGCTATCATGTACAACGCTCAAACAAATTACATCTCATGAAATTCACCAAAAACGAAATATTCATAGTGTATTTTTGCACATTGACATGTTGATATATTGAATACTGACACAGGCACCTAAATCTATATATGATTGTAATTTATCAAATCATTACCATTAACTCTTGATTTATGTGTGCAAAAACTGCCATTGTATCAGCTTATTTCGTGCCCCCAAGTTTGAACAATAGGTCGAAGCCAAAGTTTCTCTACCTAAATTAAAGAAGTGGTGTTTAACTTATAATCAAAATCGAACAATGTATCACTACACTGCAAGAATAATCATTGAAGTATTATTTAAATAAGAAAAAGGAAAAGTCGGAAAAAATACAAGTTTGTATTAAAAGGGAGACACTTCTCCGGATGAAGAATACAACATGATCTTGTTATGAATTAACAGCAGAAAGTTCACGCGCTGCTTTCATGTTGTCAGTAAAAAGCTTAAAAATGAGGCTAACAAAGCCGTGCAATAATATTGGCTTAAATTTTAAACTTGAACTCTTTTTCTAACACTTACAGAATCGCCAAGATCCTTATGTACGTCATTTAACTAAAACATGAAACGACTGACCTTAAATATTGCCCGCGTTGTCATTGAAATTAGATTGAAACTAAAATTCTCAAGTTAAATATTACAAATCAACGTCGAGAGGAACTTTTATCTGTTTACCGATCTCTTTGTTTTAGCCTCATTTTTTCAGTTTCAACGTATATTTGAACAGAACTCTTCGTATCCTCTTGATTTAGTTTGAACAAATGATTCGCGACACGAACATCTTATGATTTGGGTACACCCATTTAATGACGTCATACGCTCCAACAAGTTTTAAATGTTTTAGTTTTGGGTCGAGCGATCCGTGAACGAATTCACCCCTTAATCATGTACATCTTTTTCTATACATTGTGTGTATATATTTTGAACCTACTTCATGGCTTATGATTAAAATTGCGTTACTTTAGCAAGAAAATTATTATACATAAACATTTATTACATTCCAATATTACATTGTGTTCAAATGTCGTATATATTTGCCGAATCTATTTAGATAAATCACGGTACCAAACTGGATCATTCACATTTTTCACTTCAATAACATTTCCCTTTGATACAGCCTATTATATCTATTTTGCGACTCATTTAATACGTCATTAAATACGACGATCGTTTTTAACAGTTGTATGCACGTATAAATGTCTACGGGTGGATTTTGTTCTACTTTTGTTGCTGTGACGTTTGTTGATGTTTTTACTTCACAATGACAGTGTAAATTTCATAAAGACTCATCATTTAAGATGCGATAGGGCACCACTGAGATTTGCTGAGCCAGTCATACCATAGAGGAATTTGAACTCGAAGCGTTGTGGCAACAACCGGCCTAAAGCCCCAACAACCAGTATACTTAATTTGCATCATGTGCCTCTTATTGCAGTATTTTAGGAAAAATTGGTAGATAATGCAACGGGTTATGAATAGTAATGGACATGTATATAGAATATCTATATTGATATTGTTTAACATGACAAGGGAAAACAGAGGATGTTCGTTAAACAGTGGCGGTACGGTATTTAACACAATATTAATGTATAAATAAAACACATCATGCCAGTTTTAAGATAGAGCTGAAAACGCTTGTCTTTTATCTTTGTGACACACTATATATAATTATATTACTATTTCCTAGTCAATATAAGTGTTTATTAAAATATCCCATTTTTCACACCATGGTGACGTGTCATCATCAATATAGAAGGTGATCAAATGTATCTAAAATCGACACGTAAGATAAACTTCCCCTCTGGTGTTTCATGATAACAATCTCATGCTCGTTTGGTCGTACTGAAACACCAATATATAAATAAGGCCCTAAAATCTATACAGTACTCTAAATGTGTGTAACTGATTTACCCTGCTTACAATATAAAACATTCTGTATGTATGTACCGGATGTCAAAATAAATTAATTAAGCAGTCAACAGTATAGAGTACGGTCAGTCTTCACAATGTAAATGGTTAAACTAAAACTAAATTAGTGTAATTGAAGTTGAACTAACTTTCATATTGAAAACGTTATATAAACTAATAATTGACTAACTTATTTGACATATCACGAAAATAAATACATTACTTTTATAACGAGAAATTGATATATAGAGTTCATTCAGATTTTTTTTTGTCGTAAAGATTATTACATGACTATATATTACAATAGAAGTTAAAGTTGCTCCATATTCAACTCTGCTTGAATTATAATTTTTTATTTATTTACTTTTTTTTGCATTTCATTCATAAAATTCAAGCTATCAACGCTAACCCTTCTTGACCTCAACGATCAGTAGGTCGATTTTCTTCTAACCTTTGGCCTTTGTTATTCTGTGATTTACACGTGTTATTTTCAAATCGCCCCCGTGGTCCCGCGGGGCTTCTTTTACGGTTTAACAGTACGATTTTATCAGCGGACAGTTATAATGAATGTTTTACTTGTAGATTGTCAAAACTTCCTACTTGGTTAATTGATATAATGACACATTGATGGTGAAGTCCCTCGAGACAATATTTACTATATTTAGATATGTATCTGTTTTGTCTCATGATTATAAACGTATAGTATTTATTGACATAACAATGAAACATCCTCATAATAAGTTATTTGATACAATGTATCAAATAACGCTGTATAACACAATGTATCAAATAACGCTTTTACTATATAACTTATTTATGGTGTAATTTCAAAAAATATACACGATTGCTTACCATAATCATTTTTCTAGAATTATTATACGTTGTTTACGAGTACAAGTATTTAGGAACCAGAAATTAGAGAACTGAACCACACGTCGTGACATTTCAGTTCTTTAATCAGCTTTTAAAAACCAGAATTAAAGGCATAAGAATATTCAAAACTTTTAAATAGGAATTACACAGAGTGTATGTGGACATGCGAATTAACATATTAATTAAAATAAAATTCAAATGTGCTTATCAATCGTTTATTATCATTTATTGTAATTTGATGTATAAAATATTCCATCAAAATATATTAAAACATTTCATGATATAAAGTTTATATAATTACAGTACAAAAATCTACATATAAACAATTCGCTTAAAGCAAACAAGAGACATGTCGCTCGACGAAGTATATATATAAAAACAAAAGAAAAAATAATAAGCGGAAAGTGTGCTTATTTAATTGGCAAAAAGCAAGTTTCTACACCGGAACGAACGTTGTATTTAGTCAATTAGTTTTAATTTTAACATGATTCAGGAATTTTATAACATGATAAAATTCATGTGTAACACAACAGTATAAACCAACCACCATATAAATGTTGTACGGTTGTAAGTGCACATGCGTGTTTAATGTGTGGGAGAATTGCGGTTACAAAACATGACCGATAAATTCTATTTTGATATAATCTTTAACCTCTTTCTACATAATGACTGCACCTGGTAACAAGTAAAAAATGCACATTTTTATAAGTTTTTGAATACGAAGATTCGGATGAATTGTCACTTTAACATTGAATAAGACACTTGCATGTTTAAAAATATCATGAAATAGCAGGTATGCCGAATATCAAGTTACATAGTACAAGGTCCCTTCGATCAATATTAGAAAATCTTATACATATTGTAAGAAGAAATATATAAAAAAAAAAAAAAAAAAAAAAAAAAAAAAAAAACAAAGTGACAGAGAGGACGGAAAGCTAGTTTGGTGCGATGGTTTGCGGTGGCGTGAAGATCACTGAATATTTGTTCATTCAATTCTTTTGGCAACTCAAGAAAGCATTTAGATAAAAGTTATAAAGTTTCTTCAATAACGTAAAACATAAACGTAACATATGAACAAGAATGAAAATGTTACATGTAAACTTATAACAACAATTGAAAAACTGGCAGAAACCATTTATAAATACTTATGCTGATATAGCAATACTTTAATACTTTAGATAATAGAAAAATAAGCTTAAATTATAGCATGCTTCACTAGACATATATATAGCATTTTCTGAAACCATTAACGCTGAGCCGGGGGATATTATGTTCTCAAATATCAAATTGTATACAATCATATATCTTAATTCCCTAGCTTGTCTGAATAACCAACTACCTTACAGTAACAAAAAGATAAAATTTACAGCATAATCACTAAACTGTTTCAAGTCATTATACACTTTTAAAAAATTGTAATCAGACTATTCTATAAACAGATTGTTTTGTTGAAATATGATTCGTTGGAAAAAGCCGATCAACACAGATAATGGGTTGAGAAAATGACTTTGTTTTTCATCGGGAATATATGAAAATACCTGGGCAAATACAGCTCCTGAGAAATTAATTGCAGCTAGAAATATATAATAAAGAGCGTAAATAAACACAATGACTTTCGCCTTTTATAAAGTGAAATACTTAAATACAGAAACATTGTTTTAGGACAAAGTTGAAACTTGTGTATGTAATATAGCCGAGTAATATAATACCAAGGGAAGACAATACACTATTCGGACAAAAAATAGCTAGTATTAACAAGGCAGTGTAATAGAGAAGGTCTCTCTATATCGATCTGTTACTTTGATGCTTGTAAAAACAACAATGACTGAATGAGATCAGCATATGCTACCAGGTTATTTATTGATCCAAATCACAGAATGACGGTGCAGATATTACCTAGAAACGATATATTCTTGTGCATATCAATATCATATAATTATTTCGAAATCCATACAAGTAATTTTCGTACCCCGGCAAAGTCCTATTAGACACTGATCAATACATGTTCGAATAATAAAAATGCTGGAACATTTAAATCTACGAAAACAATTAATAGTTTATATTGATTTACTTCAGTAAGGAACAGGAGTAACCTTTTTTTATTGTAAGGCACCAAGTCAACAATTTAACATGTTCAATTTGGAGTGTTATTGTGTCTTTAACAATAATATAAAAATATATATCAAAAAGATGACTATTATACCTGATTGTAAATATCATTTTATATTATATGATTTATCAAAGAGAAGAAGAAAAAATGTTTTAACATCTTTTCTGTTATAAGGTGCGGTATTATAAGGTTATAAACGACATTTTTCAGTAAATTTAACATTTGGTTAAGGTTCAATACAAACTGTTAAGTTTACTTTTTACAGTTAGGACAACAAGTGCAGGCAGTGCATTGTCGAACACGTTTTAAAGATCTATTTAAAAATCGACGAATAACTGGAGTTATTAATAATCTGTTAATTACACTGTTAGAATATAAGATTCAGCACAAAAATTATTTCATCTATAAATATCTTTAAAATACATTAACAATTTTATAGATGTATGTATCTGTACAAATAAACACATATTTACAAGTTGTCATAAATACAAAAGAGGCACTGATGCTTTACGAGATATGAGTGCCTTTGAACTTCTGGTTTTACTTGAACCAGAGTCCCTCTTCTCATCACTTCCGCTGCTTCGACTTTCTTTTGAATCTCTACTCATATTTTCTTTTGAAATACGTCTTTGGAGGACATGTGTTTGAGTATTTATTACACGTACCCCTGTTGATGACCCTGACGGGGAACCTTTTCCTGACGGGGAACTATTTAAGATATTTGAAGTTTTAATAACTGAAATTTGAGGCGAAGAAGACGTCCGTTTATATTGTCTAGGGGGTAGTTCTGGTGGGGTACCAGGCGCTCGATTATTCACATGCCCGTTTACTGGTGGTGACATTGATACACGATTGTGGTTAGCGTCTAAAGCCGCACGTGGGTCAACAAATGAGTAGTTTGTGTTTTTCTGGCTCCCCACAACATCTCCTCTATTTAACATATCCAAACGCGATTTGAACTTTGTCATTGGTTCGAATTCTGGTTCCTCATAATATGTCTCTTCATCAGAATCCCTTGTGAATTTCCCAATTGGTGGCTGTTTACCTTCTCTAAGGTAACCATAGAGATCGTCAAGCTCTTCGTGAAGAATGTCTTCTCTACTTCTTGATCGTTTCAGCTGACTGGCCGATTTTTGTGACTCAATCTGTTTCGCATTCGTCTCTGAATATATATTTGCCATTGTGTGGTTCTTAGCTTTTACGGCCCCCTCGGGCACTGATATTATCAAATGAATGGTGTTGTGATAGTTCGCGACAAGCCTGTTACATTTCACCATAATGTTAGTGTATGCTTCATTATCTTTCAAATCAGTATTATTGGCGGCCGTTACAAGGCGGAGATTGACCTCTGTAGGTATCGGGTATATCCTGGGTGTGTTCCGATCAAGCGGACAAACGAACGCTGTTTCATCCGTGTAAGCCCAGTCCAGTCTTATAAGTCCAGTAAATCGGGTTGAATCTACTTTTGGCCATACACCTTGTATCAATTTTACAGTAAGTGGTAATCGAAACTTATTAATCACATCTTTGATCATAAATACTCCCATCACTTCACCATCTCCAGCTATTGGAGTGAACATTCCTTTCTGGTCAAAACTCAAAAATAAATTCTCACCTTTAGAATCAGAACATTTCAATAACCGAAGTTTTCTTTCCTTCCCGGTGGGAAATTGAAGAGGCACTTCCCCATGTACCTTCAACTGTTCCCCAGCTATAACAATTTTTGTTTTGTCAAACGTCATTTTTCCGTCCGTATCATTGACAAGATATGCTTTTAAGTTTTGGCGGACTAGAACATTATTTACTGTAGGGAAGGACTTCGCAAGATCCTGAACACTGTCAATTGGTTTGACAGATCGACCATCTTCAGATAGGAGCTCGAACCAACCTTTGTATGTGACCGGTATTGATAAACGCTGCTCCAACGGTACAAGCCGGGTCGTCCGACGGTCTCGGCTTTCTACTTTAGTAACACTATGTCCTAATACTTTTAATCCTGTTTTAATTGAATGAACAAGCACATCTTGATGAAGTCTCTTCAAAGGATTGAACTTGGACGTTCCAATGTTCATAAACTGTCCTTTGACCACTCTCGATACGGTCGGTAACTCGTGTGTCATAAGAAAATCCTTTAATTTTACAGGATCCGTGCCCCATATCGGCTGAGGAAGTGTCAAATCTCTAGGAACCGCCATTAAATCCGTTACAAGTATAGACAACAACAACAAATACTTGAAATATCCTTCTCTACTCCATTTTGAACATGAATTGTCACGTTTGAGCGATCACAAATGCGTTATACTATAAACGAACACAACATAGATCTCAGGTGTGTATTTACCTGCTAGTTGTTCAATGTCGTCTGCTTATTTGAATACCCGTCGGACAAGTTTAACGCTTGTAATAAATCCGGATACGCTTCATTGGTATCGCTTCGGTCTTTTCCGTTGTTTTCATATTTGCGTATAGTCAAACCCACCCACCGCTGTTGAGTCATCGGCTAAACTCTTTTTAGGCTTTTAAAAAGGTGTAAATATTTTAAATTGTTGTTTTCTTAAAAGATATAGGTTAATTCTTCCCACATAAAATTATTGAATATCGTCTTAATCTTTTGGAAGCTTATCAGATATAAAACAACAGACACATAGTAATCCGATTATGAATCATATATGATCAAGCGCTTTTAATATTTTCTCTATCCAATATTCTTTAATTATGATTTTTCTCTCTGTAATGAAATTAAATATTTATTAATCTCTTTATGATTCATCAAAAATTAATTATTTTTTTTTTGTATTTTACAGAATGATTTTCTTCAATAAAAAGTTTTACCAGTGTGTATAAGTCTTGTAAAATTTGTGCCAATAATTATTTTCCCTTGAAGGATAGGTCCTGTCAATTAAGTTAACACACCACTCTTCAATTCCAAGACGGATCTAGTTTTGGACAGGTTGGCTGTATGCTGAATGATTTGATTAATTTTTCGTTCCAGGTAAAGTTAAATGACTCCCATTTCAAACATTAAATATTATGGAATGATAGATATTTATCTTGACTATATATTTTGTCAGTAGTTATTAAAATATGAGCAGAGTCTAAGAACAAAACGTGTTTTTTTTATTCAGACTAAGGCCACATTGTACCACTGATAAAATGATAATTATAAATACTATGTAAGGAATGAAATAATAATATATGTTACCATATTTATTGGAACATAGGCTGGTTTACCTTAATACATTGGCTGGTTTACTGTTACAGGCTGGTTTATTGTAATACATAGGCTAATTTACTGTAATACATAGGCTGGTTTACTGTTACAGGCTGGTTTACTGTAATACATAGGCTACTTTACTGTAATACATAGGCTTGTTTACTGTTATAGGCTGGTTTACTGTTATAGGCTGGTTTACTGTTAAAGGCTGGTTTACTGTTATAGGCTGGTTTACTGTTATAGGCTGGTTACCTGTAATACATAGGCTGTTTTACGGTAATACATGGACTGATTAACTTAAATACATAGGCTGGTTTACTGTTATAGGCTGATTAACTTTAAAACATAGACTGGTTTACTGTAAATAGTATCACTCGGATATGTCAAAAGGCATATCATGGGATTTATGAATACTAGTACATCTAAGATCAAGACTGATTGCCACAATTAAAGCTTGCCCTCTATGACAGTACTGTCCGAATAAAGTTTAACATGTAACCTAGAATTCTGACCAAATAATCCTATCACTAGAATATTGTGATGAATTACGATCTTTAAGGCAAAACTAAAAACAGAAAGCAAGTACTTTAATGCTTTTTGGTCATAAATGCTTTCGGTATAAAAAATAAAACTGGAACTTTTCATTTCAGTCTGTTGCAGGGTGTTTTTGTTCATCGAAATCACTTTAACTGGTCAAACTGTCTTTGCTACAGAACAATTGCTTCTTTGTACATGTCAGTTTGTTGCAGGATATATTTGTTCATCGTGTAAAAATAAACAAATCAAACTGTCGTTATTATAAAACAATTGCTTCTTTGTACAATAGGAATCAGATTACCATGAACTGTGGTCCTTTTAATTCGAAACACGATGCATAAGTTTATTAACAGTAAATTTAGTTTAAACTCATTTATAACGATTTAGTGACAAAGAAATTAATTAAAAATATAAAATTTAATATATTTTCAGACCACAGAACGCATATAAATTATTATGATGTTTGATGCTATTTCAACTAGTATTTTATATAAATCAATTTTAGTATGTTAGTGTCAAGTTACTGTTTTGTACAATAGAACAAATAAAACCGTCTGTAGCCGGGTTCATGCACCTCTCGGTCGCGACATCAGAAAGAAGGCATCGAGAGTTGTTTCCCTTACATTTTCACATGTAACATTCATTATCTAAATATGTAAGTTTTCATATGTAACATTTTTATCTTGATAAAGCTACAGCATATATAATTTTACCATACAAGGCAGTATCTTGAGAGATAACATAATTACTGTCCTTGGATGTCAAGTGTAAATAACTTAAAAAACATTTAACATAAACAGATTCAGACGATTTCTCCAAAGATAAATGTAAATGGTTTTGTAATAATACCTCACATCCTTTCAAATGATTTTATGGGCCTTAAACATGCACTAGAATATAAACTCTTTGTTGGCATGGAAATGTGATAATGTATGTATCAATTTGGATATAATACAACTGATTTACGATACTCCTATAATACTTTTTACCATTGTACATCATGTCTAAATGTTTTATGTTTTGAAATAAAGTATTTCGTCGATTGTGTCATTGTAATTTAGAATTTCAGTGTTTTTACAATTGCTATAATACAGTTTACAATTGTGTTTGTGCATGCGTGCGTACGTGGTGATAATGACTTGAATTTGCTACAAGTACATGTATAGAGCCAGGCCATGCAGACTGCACAATACATACACGTCACCTCACCAAATAAACAACAACTGCAGCATAATGTGCAGTACAAACCTTGTACAAATGTACCTACATACAGAAGAGTAAAAGTTAATATTCTAATTTAAAAATCCTTTACATGTCTTAAATGCAAGACTGCACGCATTAATACTTGAATTTCTTTATTGTCAACAATTGCATGTTAATTTATGCTAAATTTATTTAGTGTAATGTAATTTTACTTATTGATAAGCTGGCGGGAATGTTTCAATACGAATTGTCATTTCATACCAGATCTTTAAGGCGGTTGGTAGGCACCAAACGCAGGTTGCCCAGTTAATCAGTCGCGATGCTAGAAATCATGTAGTATCAAATATGGCGATACAGCTTACTGGTCAGAAATTATATGCCCCGCACATTCACGACGGCGCCACCTGGAAACATATAGAAATATATAGAGACAATTTGTTTTAGTGAAGTAATTGTCAAAGCATTTGGTGAAAACCGTTGAAAAGCCAAGCTCGGTTGTATGTGCATCTGAGGGTGTGTTGTGTGTGTGTGTGTGTGTGTTTGTGCGTGCGTGCGTGCATGCGTGGGTGCGTTCGTGCGTGTGTGTGGGGGGGGGGGGTAGAGATGTCTTCGATTTTAACCTATTACCATCTTCGTAGCTACGAAACCTTACTAAAACACAATATATGTCTATTAGAGTGGCTGTGCCATGTTGGAATCAATATAGGAAATACAAGGTAATGAAAACATCTTTATTATGTGTTTTGTACAGATATTTAGGTTGACGAGGCACACAGTTCTCACATTTTAGTGTACTGAACTACCTTTTGCCCATTGTCAGCGTTATATTTATTCATATGTGACTGTGAAATATTAAATTTAGAATTTGGTCATGTAGCCATTTCGGTCAGATAGGTCAACAAGTAAATGTAAAAGGAAAACTTTAACCATTCCAAAGGTCAACAAAATATTAAAGAAAATTAAAAGCACCGTCTTTTAAATATTTTTTTCAGATTTTTAGGAAAATTAGTTTCAAAGATAATTAAGATAAACTGTTATTCGGAATTAATTTTTATCAACAATCAATTTACCTTTACTAACTAATAGATGCCGATTTACTTAAGTAAATATTTTGCGATTAATTTCAAATACTTCATACATGTTGAACTAAAACAAGAGTTTGCTACGATGTCCATTGTCCACTTTGATAAATCTGTCTAGCTTTGTTGCTAAAATTTTAAAACCCATTATGCCTCATAGAGCTATTTATGCTATTTCTCAGCTTTTTAGTTTTTGGTATCAAAAAAAAAATACTCATTGCCCAGAAACATTTTTTTGCTTCTATCTGTCTTTATTAACCAATCAGTACACATTTTGATTTAGTATTTGGTATGGAAGTTTGTTTATATTTTCAAATTATTTTATATTCAATGCAGGCAATGTGCATTTAACATGCTTTAAAACCATTTTTAAAGGTGATAAAATTTGATATTCCTCTTTCTAAAGAAGGTAAAATATTCTTTCTATGGCATAAGGTATTTAATTAAAACGTACGCAACGAGATAATAAAGCTAATAGTCAAATCTTGATTTTCTGTTTACAGAAAAATATATATTTCTGCACAGAAATTGTTTCTTCGTTTGTATGAAATTTTTAAATCGGAAAAAGTGCAAACAATAAGGTTAACATACTTTGATCACGGATTTAAAGTTTATTTTGGTATAAATGGGTTAACTTAGATCGTTTGTATTACGTCTGCGATGTGAGCATATGGATCTATCAAAAATGTGACATGTCTAATTGTATTTAGAACTGTACTGAAATTGTGATAATATGTTACTAAATACAAAATGTGACCAACTATAAATACGAGGCTCATTGAGGACGAGTATCATTGCCTTACTCAGCCGGCGACCAAGAGAAGCAACATCATGCTCAGGGTTCTCATAGCCTGTTTTGTCTGTGTTTCATATGTTATGGTAACGTATTTATGTTTCCGCTTTATCATTTATAAAAATAATATAGGATTTAGGTAATCTGAATCAAATATGCTTTATTTCTACAAAGTAATGGCACATTATGCCTCAGAAACAAATAAATATTTACTTGTTTAGAAAAGGCAACATGAATTTCATAACGTTTCAATGATGGTTTTAGAGCATGTTAGATGCTTGTTACCTAATAAAACTAGCTCTAAATGTGAAACGATTTGTCATAAATAAAACAAATTACATTGCATTACTTAATCAAACGTTAATGTATATTTTTTTGAAATGACGCGATAAAAGAAGGGTAATAATAGTGTCTTTGGTACGAGGGCAACCGCTAATTTTGAAATTTAACACTAATTCTGTGTAATATGTATAATAAAACATGGTTTGTTTTATACCTCACCAAAGAAGCAGTTGAAATACTAGTAATAGCACTCGTAATGTCACACTTGGATTATTGCAATGTCATTCTTTATGGTGTATCCGATTTTGAAATGAAAAAAATGCAACGTATTC